CTGCTTGTGAGGACAAAGAGTGTTCATATGAATGGAAAAAAAACAGAGAAGACTGTTGCTTCTGGGGATTCGGACCAATCGAAAACCAATTCCATTCATTCAAACACAAATTTTTTAATACATTATTATAAAATATTTATTTTAACATTTTGGAATTCAAGTAAATTTACCAATCCACGTAGGTTTTTTTATTTTATCCATTCGTATGTTTATGTCAGATAAAGGTCCCATTTAATTCTATTTCAGGCAAGAAAATATGAAAATTTGTTGTCGTGGCTACTTATATAGCCAAACATGGCAGTTTTTTATTAAATAGATCGATTCGTATTTCGTAGTAGGTGAAGGGACGTTAACTATTTATTACTCCTAGTTGATGTTACATAGTTTGAGATTGTTCGGAAATTACAATGATGGTTGATGACTGATCGATCATCTAATAGTCGAACTAATCGTTAACATTAAAACAAACAAAATACAGTGAAACAATTGATGAGTATGCTGAAGAAACTTTAAAGAGTTTTGTTTTACTATGGTAAGTTTTGAGGATGTAATTTTAAATTTTTTGTTGTTAGAAAATATACAACTTTTGTGGATGTGATTGAAAAAGACGCGCGTATCATTTTTTCCCCCTAGGCTTTTTGGCATTTATTTATACAAATCTTTTTTGAAAGCTGTAAATAGACATATTCGCCTAAAATGGACATCATATAAGATTAGGATTTCAGATCCCAGTATATATATATATATTTTTTAATAAAATTGTATGCTTTCTAAAGGAGATAAAAGATAACAAAAGCATAAATTTGACATCTATAAAACATTGAACACAGAGACTATAGTTTATTTTGCTTTTCTACATGTTTGTGTTCGCGTTTAATTGTCAAATATATCCATCATGTTTTTAAAAGTGTGTCGTTATCATTTTTGTTAGGTTTATTGCTCATTTATAAACTCATAAATATTATGTTTAACTAAATATGTTACTACGAAATATATTGCTACAAAACTCGACATTGGATACCATTTTTCTCAACTTAAAATCGTGGAAGGTTTTATCTTGTCACGGATTCGTTACAAGCTTTCTCACTTGCAAGCTATAGAAGTTCCACAATAACCAAGATCATGTGGTTATGGATTTTGAATGCTGACCCGGACGATATACTGTATATGATAGACGATCAAAATAAAAGTAAAAAAATACAAGTGTAAAATTTTATTGCGCCTGAATCAAGACAAGTGTGGACAGTTTTTGAAAAGAGAAGAGGAGAAAAACGGTGGTAGTTT